CTTCTTCTTCTTTTTCCCTTCTTCTTCTTCTTCTTCTTCTTCTTCTTCTTCTTCTTCTTCTTCTTCGCTTCTTCTTTTTCCCTTCTTCTTCTTCTTCTTCTTCTTCTTCTTCTTCTTCGCTTCTTCTTCTTCTTCTTCTTCTTCTTCTTCTTCTTCTTCTTCTTCTTCTTCTTCGCTGCTTCTTCTTTTTCCCTTCTTCTTCTTCTTCTTCGTTTCTTCTTCTTCTTCGTTTCTTCTTCTTCTTCGTTTCTTCTTCTTCTTCGCCCCCATTTCGAGCCCCATTCCCCTCCCTCCCGGATCTTCAGGATCGGGGAGAGAGAGAGAGAGAGGTCTTCTTCTTCTTCTTCTTCTTCTTCTTCTTCTTCTTCATCACTTCTTCTTCTTCTTCTTTTTCATCGTCACTTCTTCTTCTTCTTCGTTGTCGCTTCTTCTTCCTCTTCTTCTTCTTCTTTTTCATCGTCACTTTTTCTTCTTCTTCTTCGTTTTCGCTTCTTCTTCTTCTTCGTCTTCTTCTTCTTCTTTTTCATTGTCACTTCTTCTTCTTCTTCTTCGTTGTCGCTTCTTCTTCTTCTTCTTCTTCTTCTTCTTCTTCTTCACTTCTTCTTCTTCTTCTTCTTCTTCTTCTTCTTCTTCTTCGCTTCTTCTTCTTCGCTTCTTCTTCTTTTTCCCTTCTTCTTCTTCTTCTTCTTCTTCTTCTTCGCTTCTTCTTCTTTTTCCCTTCTTCTTCTTCTTCTTCTTCTTCTTCGCTGCTTCTTCTTTTTCCCTTCTTCTTCTTCTTCTTCGTCTTCGTTTCTTCTTCTTCTTCGCCCCCATTTCGAGCCCCATTCCCCTCCCTCCTGTGTCGTCTTCCCCCAAATATAACGCACCATGACAATGATTGTATACAAGCTATATTTCAGGTCAGGTACAGACAAAATGAGGTTGCCTTCCGTTCGGGGGAAGACGGTCGTATGTATAACCCTTGTCCGGGAGGTTATATAGCCCAGCCCAGCCCAGCGGTTGGGATCTTTTCATTTCATATAATCTCCATTTCAATACGCAAAACAAAAAGCAGGTGGTACCGGTTCAGTGACGGCGGTTGGGAACTTTTCAGATATAATCCGTCTCTCGATGATGATGATAGGCGGGCGTAAATAAAATACTGGAAAGAGGTGAAAGAAGACACAGGAGGCTGGCCAAGCACCCTAGCTCAGTTGGTAGAGCACGAAAGCAGCATTTTGGAGGTTGTGGGTTCGACTCCCCACAGTCCCCGACCGAGCCCCCAACACCTCCTGAGGAGTGCTGCACGGTCACCAGCTAAGATAGTCAGCTTGTCCCTCCTGGTTGGTTGGTGGGGAATGCCACCCGTTGCCAGGGGTTAGGTTCAACCGTGAGGGGATACGCTCAACCCTGAGGGGATAGTACGAATGCGTTGAATGGTTATGGGATGATTACGCCATCACTTACATTCCATTTGCTTGCATCCAAGTGTGCTGATCTGCTCGGAAAGGGGTCTGGGGAACAGAGGTAGCTGCCCCTGCTGCTGCGCCTGGAACGGCTGTGTTTCCTGCAAAAGGACTCTTCGATAATCCTTGTAGCAATGTCTCTGGTGGGATTGAGAACGGAAGGCAGCCGCCTGGAGATTGCACCCCTGCCGTGGGCGATACGACCTGTGCCAGAGTGTGGCTAGTTCCATTCTGCACAGGTCCCAAGTTTCTATGAACTGGTCAAGCAGTGAAGGGTCCACACAGGTATATGAGGGAAAAGCAAAGCAAGCCATGACACAAACAACGACAACAACAACGACAACAACAACAACAACAACAACAACAACAACAACAACAACAACAACAACAACAACAACAACAACAGAAAACAGAAACCGCAAAGAGAAGCTGAGTAGAGATTTCATATCAGCAGCACAGCAAATCACAAAGCCGATTGGGTGTGTGAAGGAGGAGGAGGAGGAGGAGGAGGAGGAGGAGGAGGAGGACGAAAGGCGAGAGGACTAAAAGTGATAATAATAAGGGAGCCGAAGCACCACAAGAAGGTCGTAAGTACTAAAAGTGATAATAATAAGGGAGCCGAAGCACCACAAGAAGGTCGTAAGTACAAAAACGATTACACATTTTGCAACACACCATCAACACAACGGGAAACAGATGAACACAGACAACGCGAGAAATTGAAGCTGTCATCCATCAAGAAAACCCCAATAGCGTACCCAGTTGGCAGAGCTAACTGCCAATAACAAGATGAAATGAGCCCTCAAGTAGGGGCCTTGCCATGATGTACATGTTCTGGGCTAAGGCCCCAGCAAGCCTAGTGCCCGCCCTAAGTGAAGGCGGGCCAGCAAATCAACAAGAGCCCTCTGTGCAAACATTTCCCGAAGTGGGGTTCATACAGTTGCAGCACGCCAGTTGGTTGGAGTGCACCGAGTCTCGACCTTCAGCAAATGCTGAAAACCCAGGGCCTCTGGGTGCTTGAACGTGAGGCCGACAATGCATGCTGGGTATAGAGGCCGAAAATGCCAAAGGGAAATCGGCCCACTGTCTGAATCTGGCCGCAGGCCTTGATGAAAGAGGCGCAACTGCATTGCCCCGGGCCTCAACTGTATCGGGCTGGTTTCAGCCTCTGGGGCCCAGTCGCAGGCTGAAGGGAGGCCGCCCACACGCAGCACTGGCATATAGGCAAGCAGGGCGAGTGGGCAGGGATCTTGGCCAATGCG